CTGCACTGGCTGCTCGGTCAATGAATGCCGAATTTTGCCTTATAAGTAAACGGCTAATATTACCATTATTATTAGAATTGAGGAGAACAGATAGGACACGTTGATCCAGGTCTGATGACTAGAGAGTGAAGAAAAGCGTTTCTAGACTAGAACTGGCTGCTCGGTCAATGAATTCTGAATCTTTCCTCATAAGTAAACGGATAATATTACCATCACCATTAGAGTTGAGGTGAACAGATAGTACACTTTGATCCCATCCCGAATGATATGGTGGAAAGAAAAGCGTATCTAGATTTGAAGTGGTTGCTTGGTCAATGAATGCCAAGTGTGTCCTTATAAGGAAATGGCTAATACTATCATTAGCATTCGTGTTGAAGAGAACAGTTAGCCACATGGCCAAAGTGTGAAGGAAAGTATATGTAGAGTCAAACTGGTTGCTCGGTCTATGAATGCTGAATGTTTACTTATAAGGAAACGGTTAATATTCTTATTACCAAGAGTGTTGAGGAGAACAGATACCACATGTTGAAACAAGCCCGATGACTAGAGAATGAAGAAAAGTGTATCTAGAGTCAAAATGGCTGCTCGGTCAATGCATTCTGAATGTTTCCTTATAAGTAAACGGCTAATATTACCATTACCATTAGAATTGAAGAGAACAGATAGCACACGCTGATTCTAGCCCGATCATTAGAGAGTGAAGAAAAGTGTATCTAGAGATGAAATGGCTGTTCGGTCAGTGAATTCCGAATCATTCTTTATAAGGAAACGTTTAATATTCTCATTACAATGAATGTCGAGGACAACAGGACACGTTGATCCAAGTCCGATTATTAGAAAGTGAAGAAAAGCGTTTCTAGAATAGAACTGGTTGCTCGGTCAATGAATTCTGAATGTTTCGTTATCCCATCCCGAATGCTATGGTGGGAAGAAAAGCGTATCTAGATTTGAAGTGGTCGCTTGGTCAATGAATGCCAAGTGTGTCCTTATAAGGAAAAGGCTAATACTATCATTAGCATTCGTGTTGAAGAGAACAGATAACTTTAGTTGATCCCAGCCTCATGTCTAGGGAGTGAAGAAAAGTGTGTTGAGTCGAAACGGCTGCTCGATCAATGAATGCCGATTGTTTCCTTATAAAGAAACGCTAACATTATCATTGTCGTTAACATAATAAAACATCAAAAAACGCTATAACAAAACTTGTGTGAAAGCAAAAAAAAAAAAAAACTTTGGATTTTCCCAAAGAATCTTAGATGAGATATTTGGTGAAAAGTATTTTTTCAGAAATGTTTTTTGATTAAACACCATCCTGTAAGTGTTCTTTTTTAACTTTTAAGTGTAAAAATGAAGGCATTGTGATGTCTGTTCTCCTCGAGTACGTTTCTACTTTTTTCTTTGTAAAAGTTTCCGAAAAGTAAGTTAGTCATACATTAAAAGGCTTTGATTTCTTTGTCGTTATCACTATGCTGCACTGTTCTGAGGCCTTTCACAATGGAAAGTTTACAAGGCCACGTATGACAATGGAACAAATAAAAATGTAAAAGAATTTGAGAATAAAAAGGCGAAAAGGACAGAATTATTGTAAACACAAGAGAAGGAGATGAAAGAGAAAAGAGTTAAAGAAAGAGAGAGAAAAAAAAAGGAGAAAGAATAAGAAAAAATATACGAAGGAGAAAGCAAGGGAAAGAAAGGAATAACCTAAGGGTGAAAAATACTCGTAAAATAATGAAAAAGGAAAAATGTTCGGGAAATACCAGTTATAGCAAGAAATAAAGGATAAAAGATTAATAAAGAAAAAAGAAAGAAAGAAAAAGATTAGGATAAAAGAATAAGAAAAAAAAAAGAAAAATGGTTAAAAAAAGAAAGAAAATTGAAAAAAACTAATAAAGAAAGGAAAAGGATTAAAAGGAAATAGAGAAGAATATAAGCAAAGAAAGAAAGAAAGAACGAAAGAAAGAAAGAAAGAACTGCAAAGGATTAAGAAAGAAGAAAGAAAGTAAAGTGCACAGTCAGGAAAAGGTTTAAGAAAAAAAAGGATTAAATAAAAAAAGAAAAAAGAGATAAAGAAATCAAGGAAAAAGGATTAAAAAAGAAACAACATTGAGAAAGAAATAAGAAAGGAAAAGGATAAAGAAGAGAAAGAAAGGAAGGAAAAGGATTTAAAAAAGAATGAAAATTGGAAAGAAAATAAAGAAGGAAAATAATAAAGAAGAGAAAGAAAAGAAATCAAGGAAGGAAGGAAAGAAGGAAGGAATGAGAAAAGATTAAAAGAAGAATTAAAAATTAGAAAGAAAACAAGAAAAGAAGGGAATAAAGAAAGGAAAGAAAGAAAGAAAAGAAAGAAAACGTTAAGAAAGAAAATAAGAAAGAGAAGAAAAAACCCAAAAGAAAAAAAAAAAAAAGTTGAACGGAATGCAAAGTGAATCTAATTTAATACAAATCACTTTTGCTATGGTTGGTTATAGTCGAATGAATATGAGTAAACATTTAATGGCGACTTCAAAGTGTGATTCGGTTACCTTTCACATCCAAACTGCAATGGTAAATATTATCGCCAATAGATCAAGAGAGCGTGTTACAATATGAGATATAAACCCACAGAAAAATAAGATAATGGATGAACAATAAAATGCAATTTTACTTCTGGAGTCTTATTTTGTTTAAAAACATCTTTCCTAAGTTGCGGAGATTTATCAACGTCTTCATCTGTATGCGTTAGAAATTCAGAAATTAAGCATTAAATTGTGGTTTCTTTCTTTCTTTATAAACATTTCATCCCAAGGAAGGCGACAACGCCACTAATACGCAGGGGGTGAAAGTGAAAGAGAAGGCTGAAAAAATGAAAGATTGAGGAAATGACAAAAGATGAAAGAGATTCAAGAAGACAGAAAATGGCGATTGACGTTGCATTTAAATTTTCGAAGATTTTACAGTGTAACCCGGATATAAGAGAGTTGTCGGGAGCGGAGAAGAAGTCTCTTATATCCGGGTTTCTCTTATATCCGGGTTTCTCTTATATCCGGGTTTGATCTATTTTGTTTAGGTAAGTATGGGCTCTAATTTGAGACCAGAGAAAATCTCTCTTATATCCGGGTTTCTCTTATATCCCGGTCTCTTATATCCGGGTTACACTGTAGTTATCAGGGAAGCAAGTGACCGGAAGGGAGTTCCACTGTTGGTTAGTGTGAGAAAAGAAACTTTTGGGGTATAAGTGGCGGTTGCATTTCAACAGTAAATGGGTGGGACCTAGATGCCAATCTAGTAGCACGCTGAATTTCATGTATTTGGAACACCAGAGAAAAAAAATCTCGTCAGAGCAGTTGCCGCGAAAATATTTCTAGAAAAGACGGAGGGAAGACAGGTTACGTCGGCGTGAAAGTGACTGAAGTCGAGAGGTCTGGTCAGGATTGATTATATTACAGATCCTTTTCTGGTCAGAACATATTTAACTGACCATTAATTCTATAAAATTGCTGGAAATGACTTGAGACTATAAGATACTAAACAAAACCATTTTTATCAATTAGTCATAAGTTCTCTGAATTTCTTAGATCTACTATTTTTCTTCTTCTTCTTCTTCTTCTTATTATTATTATTATTATTAATAATTTTTGAGTAGTCTGACTCAATAGTTTTCACACTCAGTAGTAGTAACAGACTTAAGATATTTGAACTTTTTTCATCAAATGTTTTTTTTTAAAAACATTTTAAGGCTGCAGTTTTATCAGTTTTCCCTTGTGCGTATTGGAGGACATTTCATTCGACAATTATGCTCTAGATTGTGTTTTTTTTTCCTGGTCAGAATGTTATTATTGATTTTTGACTAGTGTTTCTTACACATTTGGGATTTTTTCTGTTAATTCACCTCAAACAATGTAAAGTTACTTATCGCAAATATTAATTCACCCTATTAGTATGGTGGTATCTGCCACACAGAATTTACTGACTATTCTGTTTAGAAGAATAACGTGTTTTATGCTTCCAGTAGCACACCGATACTAATATTAGCATTAGTATAGCCATTGATACACTAATACTGAATACGAATATGAAAAGACGAAATACGCGAGCGTAACAAACAAAACGTTTAATATGGCAAACAACTTACGTACATAAATTCAAAAGATTCACATATGTCCCAAAACAAATGATTGTCCATATTGTCCCAAAGGAACGAGGAGGTTTACAGAACGAGAACAAAGAAATAACATACAAACTTTATGGCCTTTGATCGTCCGCAGATAAGTGAATAGAAATTACTTTTTTTCTTTCGCTAGGCCATGCACATGTTGACCAGTTTCCACGTGTGTGGACACCCTGGTGGTCAGGAAGGTAAAGAGGCTGTTCCTCCAAGAACAGAAGCAAAGACAAAAAGGGACAGAAGAGTTCTACTCTCTTAAAGGGGCCAAACTCCCATGAGCTCAACCCAAGGGAAAACAACTGTGATCTCCCTACAACCCCAAGAAATTATAAATTTTAAAAATCAGTTTGTTCGTTTTTTTTTTAATTAAATTTTGGCGCTCTTTTGCAATTATAAATTTTAATTCCAAATTTGTCTGGCTTGCCTCAAAACAAATGCAACCCTCAGAATTAAAAATTACCAAAAAATCAGGGAGTTATTCATATTTCGTAAATGTGGATGATATTCGAGTTACTTCCAAGGAATTTCTTACAATTAAAAAAGAGAAAAATATTTTTGTATTGTTTACTGGGGTAGGCTCGAACGTAGCCCCCTACACTTAGAACTAACGCACCCGAGTCACCCACATTTGGGGCGATCGCAAAGGCCAACACAACCGGTGTGCAACGGAAGGGCCTCGCTATGGGAGAATTTGGTATGAATTTTAGTAAATGTATATTTTTTTAATTTTGGGGCGATTTAACAGAAATTATCCCATATATATTGCTTGCATATACTTAGCAGCAGAAATAGATGTAATACTTTTGTCTAAATTTCTTAGATCTAGCAGCTTCTCTTTGTCATTTATATAGAACATAAGGAACAGAAGACAACAAGAGGGGAAGAGGGAGACAGCGCATAAGCTTTCTCTCTCTCTCTCTCTCTCTCTCTCTCTCTCTTTATCTATCTCTCTCTCTTTATCTATCTATCTATCTATCTATCTATCTATACCCGGATCACACACCTCTTCGATGTTTGAAGGAGTAACGGTTTATCTATTTTATATTGTTTCCTGTTTCGGAATGAGTTTCCTGTTCTTTGTAAAGTTTTTTTATTCTCTTTCACTCCCATTAACCCCATTTATCTTAGCGTTATCACATATATAGGAGTGAACACTGAGGTCAACACCAAGCAGCGACTGTCTGTGTCATGCGTGAATGCAATCTTCAGGTCATGCGTGTTGTGTTTTAATTCGACTATTTATATATGCTTGTCAATGGCCCATTATGGCTTGTAAAGTCTGTTGTATTAATCTAACAGTTGTTAGTTCGGCGGTAACGGTTATGTTTTAAATTATCCTAGAGAGGTTATTGAGTAGGAATAATTGTTGGCATCAGTGTCCACCTTTGTATTTGCATGCTCTCTCTCTCTCTCTCTCTCTCCCTCTCACTCTCTGACATAGAGCACTTTCACCCATAAATATCAAATACCATAAAACTATATTTTTAACTTCTGGACACAGAGTGTGAAGAAACTGTCCAAATGTTCTGAAATTCCGAACGCTTTCGTCTATACTTTTAGCCATTATCAAGGATGATTTATTTTTGTTTTTTAATTGGGTGTATTTTTCTATAGTTATAGTGCTGTTTGAATTGTGGCCATGTTCGTAGTTAATATTATTAAGTGTTGGCTTTTTCTTTCTTATTATTAAGGCTCCCATTATTTTTAATCTTTCTTTGACATGTGGATGAGGTTATTATGTTTGTATTTTCTACTAGTATGTTTCGGATGGGTTCTGGTAACTTTGCGTGTGTGTTTTAAATTAAGTATGTCCACTGTTTTCGCGGAAAAACAGCATAGCGTAAATGAAAAATGCCACAAACTTCAAGAAAATAAAAGTATTATCGTCAAAATGCTTATGTTATTATTAAGATGAAAGAAAAAAACTATTTTTTAATTATTTTAAATTTTTTAATATTTTCTAACACGTTCGAAATTTTGGTTAAAGTCGTCTTTGTTTACGTCATCGCGGCGACCTTTAAAATAACATAGTTTTTTTTTGCGTTTTTTTACCGTTGAAAATATATTGATTTGGAAATTCTTGTAAAAATAGAATAATTGTCCAATCTTAATGAAATTTTCAGGACTTATTCACAAATGAATGAAATTATTTTTCAAATATTTTGTTTTTAGAAAATTTTGGTAAAAAATATTTTTTTTTAAATATGTTACCCCCCACTTAGTTAATTTCATGAAATTTCGCCCAAAACCTTTTTGGCTCCTCAATTTTATTTTTTTGTTAAAAGAAGGAATCTTTGGAGATGGTAAATAACCTACTTTTCTTTCACAAATTTGAGCTACTTAACTGAAAATCTTGTCTGAATTGAAAAATAATGAATCCAATAAAACTATGATATTACTTAATTAGAAAAGCTTTTAATTGCTTTTGTAAATAAGTAATATTAACACATTATTTTCTGAAGAAATAATTTTTTTCTGATGAATAATTAATTTTTACAAGAATTTTTTTTTTTTTAGAAGTTTTAATTATAATAATTTATAATAGTTTAACATCGCGTAAAGCTCTGTATTAGGAGGGCCCTCAATATTATGTAGTAATTAAGTAGAAAAACAATTTACGAATCCAAATTTGCTAAGTTTAATAAATTTAGTTGAGCTACTTTTTTTAAAAATAATTTTTTATGTTGTATTTTTTACTTAATACATTCCTTATTTCCATGTATGATATACAGAAATTGCCATTATTATAACAAGGTCACGTGATCTAAGGGTTTTGTCCCTTTACGTGGCTTTTTTTTCAAAATTTCGTTTATTAACAGATTGTATTTTCCGATCAGCTGTAAAAGTGTAAACTTTAAATTTTAAATTATTTTTTCTTTTTTTCATTTACTATTTCACTAAATAATTTTATTTTATGTATTGTATTTCCATTAATGTGTGTCATACTAAAATAGAATAATTTTTAAAAACTCAGACTTTAAAAATTATGTCATTTATGGTCATCAGTAGTAGCTGTTATCGGCTCGTCAATCAACCAGTATCAATAAGATCGAACAGATGAACAGGACCGCTCGTAAATAATTGCTTGTATATTATTTTTTATGCTATAAGTAACAAAGATTTCTTTGAAATCAGATTACTTTAACTTTAAATTTTTAATTTTACTAAAATAACGTGTCAGAATTTTTTAAAATATTTTAAAATCGATAAATTTGTGTTTGTTTACAAATTTCTTAAAATTAAGAAAAATGGCGTTTTTAAGAAAATTTAAAAATTTGAAATTAAATTTGACAATCAAATGTATATAGTTTCTATCTGAAATACACCAGAATTGTTTAATTAATAGAAATCGTAAATTTAGTTATTAAACTTTTCAATTAAAGCTAAAATGAAATCTTCAAGAATGTTTTTTTCATTGTAAAAATTCATTTTAAACTTCAATATAGAAAATTTATGCCGAAATAGTGGACATACCCAGTTTAAATAGATTCTAATAGAGCTGTGATCGGATAGGTGTCACGTAAGGCGCCTGGATAGGCATGTAGTAGTGTGACCGAAGTAATTATTTATGAATTCGGGTTGATGAGGAACACAGTTCCTTAAGGGTCATTTGAACTCATAGATAATGTTCGTTCGTTGTAATTTTAATTTTGCTGTTGTGTTGTTATTTTTGAGCATAAGTTTAACTGTTTTAAATTTTTTGTAGTAGATAATTAATTTGATTTTTTTTTTTGTTCGGGTTAGTGTATTTTTTTATAATATTTCTAAGTGAAGATTCATCTTGTTTGTAGTTGATGTGCATTTGATTTTTGTAGAAAATACTTTGGTTATATTTGACTGTGTATTCACTATCGTTGTTATTTACTTTGGGGAGAAATTGTCTAATTTGCTGGTCTATAAGGTGGTTAGGAAAGCCATTGTTAACTAGTGCCTGTTTTGCATTGCTGAGTTCTTTAAGGAAGAGTAGTCGAGAGGATGAATTCTGATGTGCTCTTTCTAGGAAGATTTTTATCACTGCTATTTTGTATCTGAGTGGGTAGTCACTCTTAAAGTTAAGAGTTTCTGCTAGTGGGTTTTTTATATAATGAGTTGGTAAAAGAGTTGCTACTGTATTCTACGAGAACGTCTAAGAATGGGAGTTTATTTTTTAACTAAGTTCGTAGGTAAAGTTAAAGAGCTTTTTCGAATGTAGTCTTGAGATTATCTATTTATGTTATTTGCTAATATATATATATATATATATATATATATATATATGTGTGTGTGTGTGTATTTAGGTAGCAATTCTTCTTTCATGCACATTTCATTGAATACGACAGACAAGGTGCTTTTATTTAGTTTTTTATACAATTTCTCCTGTGATGTAATAATTTTTGCTTTTCGGACGCTAAATTATATAAAAACTGTCCGAATGTTCTTTCTATCCGAGCGCTTTCGGCTATAAATTTAGCCATTTTCAAGGATGAAATATTTTAACTGTTAAATAAGAAATAGTTTGTTGCATGTATGTTTTATAAAATGCTTTCATTTTTTCAAAACACGGTCAAGATATTATGTCCATGTTCAAAGTTAATATTATTAAGTGTTGGTTTTTTTGTTTTTATTAATAAAGCTTCCATTATTTTTTAGCCTTTTTTGCATGTAGATGATGCTATTATATTAGTGTTGTCAACAAGCATGTTGCGAATAGTGTCCATATATATATATAATATATATATATATATATATATATATATATATATATCAGAAACATTAATGATTTAAGTCAAACATTTTTTATTACTTTTGCCGTTATTATAGTGGATATTCGTTTTGAAATTTTGATTGAATTATCTTTATACAGGAGAGCACATGTTGCTGTAAGATTGTTTGAAGCCCTTTTCTGTTAAATTTTATTGTAGTATCCGAAACGTGTACATAGTAATTTCAGAAAAATTTCTTCTATATTTTGACATAGGTTAGTATTAGTATATGCGAAAAAAGGCCGTTTTTATTATTAATCCAGACAGAAAATCCGACTAGTTTCAGCCCCAAAGGCTACGCTTGTCAAAATTATTTGGGCAACTCGTGCAGCCAATCCGACCCCAAATATAATACCCTATATTCATTTGGATCTTGTCGGTACGGCCGAGAGAGGGACCATGTCTGGGCATTACACGGCCTCCATATACCATCGTCAAATCCTATGCCCTGGAAAGGTCACTATAGTTTCACCACCAAAGGACTGAATTTTGATCAAAGAAGGCGCTATCTTTTTTTATAACTCGAAGTAAATGAATGTCTGTTCTTTAAAGTTACTACGTTTATGTTTCGTATACGAAAATAAAAATTAACAGATACTGGCCTCGAAAGATGTGCTCCTCTTCAGAAGGATAATTTAAATTTGCTTTGTCGTGAAGACCCTCTACGCTTATAAAATCATTTCCAGGCATAAAGTCTCTCTCTCTCTCACAATTTCGGCCTTGTGCACACATCTATACATACATTTAGGTCAATCACCATTATGTGCCATTGCGAGATACACGCTTAGACGATCATGTATCTTTCGATGTAATGTTTTGCTTTTGCAAAGTTTTTCTTGGAATATGTTGCCATTTAACTGCGGTAGACCAGTTGCCATTCCAGGCTATAGAACTCGGTCTGTCCTGCTATTTACCCATAACTGAGGGAGAAGAAGAGGATCCCTACCTTTCCCAAAATGGGTATTGAGTACGTAAGAATGAATGTTTCAGATTTGACTGAATTTTAACTCGGCTCTCCGATTCCTCAATCCGAACCGCTAGTACCTCGATAACCTTTCTAAAAAAGAGCATAGCATGATGAAAGAGTGCCTTAAACTTGATGAAAATAATGTTTTACTGTCTAAATGCTTATGTTATTATCAAAAGTAAAGATCAAACTTATTTTGGATATTTTTTACATTTTTAATCATTCCACATGCATTATCCGAAATTTTTAAAAAAAAAATGTTGTTTTTTTTTTTAGTCAGCAAAAATATCGACCATTTTTTCCATTTTATAAAAAAA